GTGATCTTTGGTCAGCTCGAGTTGTGGGCGAGCACCGTTACCGCCCAGATTTGAAAGAAAAAATGCGGCGAAACTTGAAGGAATCCCATGCAAACCCCGGGGACACGACCAACACATCCCCGTATATATCTTCCCTTGCCTTTCTTACGCTGCCGACGGCCCTTCCCCCCTCCCCCCCCCCCTCTCTCCTTGTCTCTATAGCAGAGGCACAGAAGACACGCGCCTTGCAGTTCCATGTCCGGCTGGCGCCAGGTATTGTTCAAAGACAGATACACACATGCTGAGGAGGTGTCAAAAAAAGAAAAAAAGCCGTTGGCACATTTTGGTCGACCAAAAAAAAAATGTTTTTTTTTACACCCGCAGTCCAGTCAGGCAGAGGGCGAGGTTAGAGAAATGGCGTCCTGAGAATGGAATGGAAGTGCGTGTGCTTGTTCCCAGCAGGGTGTAGCAGCCCGTCCAAGAAAACTAGACTAACGCCGCACTTCATCTCTCAACAACCGCTGAACAGCGCAGACTTTTTAGGAACCTTGACTCGAGCGAAAGGGCACGCGTATTTAGCATCTTTTGAGTGTTTCGGTTTTCACTCAAAATTGGAACGGGTGGGGAAAACAACGACAACACACGGCGAAGGGCGACGAAACGATGTCGGCTGTAATGTTTGCTTGCTTTTCCGCAGATCAAAATAGATGCGGGGGGTAATGCCGTGTCGAGTGTCAACCCCGTTGAAGGGACCGGGCGGGCCGTTCGCCTACTACTTGGGCCACTCACTAGCTCATGCAACGTATTTTTTCACGTTTTGGTAGGAAAAAGAAGGAAAGCGTAGTGGACACCGTAGACACACTGGTAGCGCTCCGCTAACGCTATTAATTCGTAGTTCATTATTCCCGACTCTTATCCGTGGATAGAGATGGGTTCGTGGTGCACAATATTAAGAAAAAAATAGGGGAAAAAACACGCATGGATGTTTAGTTTCCCCGCCAGACCGTCACAACAGACAGACGCCCTCTGACACAAACACAAGGACAAATAAACGCGTTATTCTCAACACGCTGCGATCGATCTCTCTTCTGGGGTGGTCCACGGAGAACTCGCGCACCGACAGACGAGATTGGTTGTGATTGTAGGTCATTGCGAAGGAACGGGGCGTTGAATGTTGAATGCTCGCTCAGCGAACCGACTCCCTATCAGTCCTGAGAGGGAGGGAAAAAACACAACAAAAACAACGTCATGAACTGGGCGACAACCGAAAAGGATAGTCAAACCGAGGACTAAGGGTAACCTTGAACATATTGTAGGGAAGACAAGAAAAAAGCGAACAACGCGATGTTTGCTTCAACACAAGTATCGACGTACTACAACCAACCGTGTAAATAAACTAGACAAACACAAGCTGAACACGGAATAACAAAAATAATGTAGAACACCGAGAACACCCACAAACAAGCGTGAGTGCGAACGATTTGCCCGGGCTTCGTGCATGCCCATGCACAAATATCTCACCACCAACTGGAGCGATAGCTCTGCCCAGCACACATTCTGCCCAGCCTTCTATTTACAAAGTGATAACCATCAAGCAAAGTCGATCCCTCCCTACCCCAATCTCGCGCTGCTACTCGAAACCCATCGTTGTTGTTCTTTTTACAGAGCGGCGACACTACGGTACAGAGAAAACTACATCGCGTGACTTGCTACGCACATACAGCGATTACAGATACCGCCGAAATCGAGCGGCCTGCCCAAGTCGACGCTTGCCAACCCCGATGTATTCATGCACATCGATCGGCTGAGACCACCAGGGCAGGCTTTGACCAAGAACATGAAAGAAAAACTTGAAAGGGTGTCGACTATTCAACAGTCTTCCTACACTTACTTACGTCAGGCAACGCCAAAATTTCTTGCACAAATCGAAACGAGCCACGTTCACTGGCCAGACATGAACAACGCAGAAAGTGTCGGGGGGAGAAAACAGATTTCCCCGCTTCCACCCGTTCGTCCCCGCTTGAAGACGCGCTGGTCTGGGGGGCGAACAACCAAAAAAGAAAAAACAAAGGAGGCGTGAGTACACACCTGCAGCCCCCCCAGCCCCCCCGCCCCCCCAACCGGACCGCCTTCGCGAGGATTTCATTCATAATCTACGAAATAGAGAGGGTAGCTCCGTATCCCCATCCCTCACCCTAACCCCCAACCCCCCACCCCGTGCCCCCTACTAAAACCAAGCTTAAATATCCTTGCGAAGCCTACAGCAGTACTGCCACAACCCTCCAACCCCCGTCCATCAAAACACACCCACCCACAGCTGTGCCGCTCTCTGACCACCACAAACCAAGCCATGTCACATCCCGTATGCATCGAGTTTGGTGATTCCGAGGAAACATCGGAGGAGCATCGATTTCGAGATCTACCTGCGGGGCCACCATCTCAAGCGTAACGGTACATGACACGGCAACCATGACCCCGACCCGTCTTTCCTCCCCGGCACCAATCTTTCGTTGCATGACAATATCATCACCATAAGCAAACCATCAGAACCATCGCATTGGCGACCTTTCTCTCTGGCCCCGCCTCGTTGCACGTCTCGTGTTTTGTTAGCGAGATTTCCGCCATGTCGTACAACCCGAAAACAAAATGAACAATCAAAACCAATAAAAGCTCTTCACTTGATATCGATCCACCTCAGCCTCACTCGCGCGCCGCCGCCACTCTCATCTCCCCAATAGCCCAATAGTCTTCCATCGGAAAGCCTTTCCTACCGCCCGTGTTATCTCCCCCCCCTTCGGGCAAAAAGGAAGAGCAAACAGAGCCATGATGAGGCTGTCGAACCCAGAAGATCCAACGAACCAAGCTCAGTATCGATCCATGACGACGATGATCATGATCATACGCACAGATCATGATCACCCCCCAAGTGTCGAATCCTGACGACAACGATCATCATGATCGCCGACGATCATCAATCATGTCAATCACCCCCCAAGTGTATCTTCTTGGCCTCGCTTTGGGCCTCCATCTCCTCCAGCTGTTCCTCGCCAACAGCGGCCCCCGAAGGCTGCGTCCAGGTGGGCAGCCTGATGTCCGTCGTGAAGGCCAGGACCCGGAGGGCGACTGCCGACAGGAAACCGCTCATGATTCGCACGACTGCACAATAATACCAGGCCGGCAACAAAACAAGAAAAAAGTACAAGGAAGCAGGAAGAGGGGGTACATGATTCGGAAGACCGAAGCGCAAAAAATATGCAGGGAAGCAAGGGGGCGAGGTTTGCGGGCACGCGTGGAACGAGGATAGAAAGTTGTCGAGGGAAGGTGGCGCCAAGTTGGCTTCGGCCCGAGAAGCGGCACAGAAGGGAGGCATTTGCGAGAGTGCGAGAGAGACAGAAATGGATGGACTATGTTACTACCGCAGAGAGAAGAAGAGAGCGAAAAAGTGCATGGCGCGCGAACGAACTGGCATCACAACCGTCTCCAGCAACCATCATCAAGAGTCTGTATGAAGCTCCGTATCAACAAAAACCAAAAGAAATATCGACATACACGAGATGAAACGTCGAACTAAACGTCAACTGCTGTAGCAGTTCCGCAGCAGTACCAAATCCAACGCCATGCAAACTCTACTCTCTCAACAGCAGCAGCAGCAGCAGCAGCAGCAGCAGCAGCAGCAGCAGCAGAAAAAGTGTGGTATATAGCATTTGATCAGGTTTCATTACCTGGGGGTAAACCCGCCGCTTTGGTGGCGATGTAGACGGCAGACCCCAGCACGGCGGTGGAGGCGTAGATCTCACAGTGCGAGAACAGGATCCTGGGTGGGCGCTGTCGTGGGGGGGGAGCAAGTAGACAAAATTGTTGTCACAAAACAACATCGATCAGGTCGACCAAAACGGGGTGCTGGTGTACGTAGGCATGTAGACGGACACGAAGAGGTCAGATACATGGAGAGATGCATATAATCCTCACACCAATATAGAGATACGTGTGTTCTAGCGACATTGATTAGAATTCCGGGGCTCCGTGGCACACGAACTCACACCGTGTAGATACACAGGATGCCATTCCGAGTTACCTGGGTAGGTCTTTGGGGGCTCCGTTGCACATAAGTCGATCACGATTGACTCTTACCCTATACCTGTATATCCGAACACCTACAGTACGAGGCGACCAAGATCGAAAACATGTCACAACACGCCACAACAACGAAAAAGACGGCCGGCGGATTTTATGCGCGTCCGGGATGATGGCGTTGATCAAGATCCCATTGAACGCCAGAAAAAGAAGAGAGCCAAAAAGACTTATATTGGTATATCGTCCACTAGATAGAAACAAACTAGGGGTTGCGAGCTGTACCGTTGTACTACTAGCCAGGGAGTGCGATGAAGATGATGGCTTTCACAACGGTGTGCGGTGTGTCGGAGACACGGGTCGTTCGAGAAGCCCGGCCACAACAAAATAAGAGGTGGGGAACAAGCATCACGAAAAGAGATGGGGGTTCTCGTCTGGGGAACAAAAAAAGCGTCTCTAGCGGGAAATTCGGAACTATGTTTCGCGTTGTTCGTAGCCTTGGCTTCGGTGGTGGGCTGCATGTTTAATTGGCGCTTGCGTTCTGGGACATACGTACCGAGCAGAGCACATCGCGGATCACGCCCCCGAACGTCGATGTTAGCATGCCGCACGCCACACAGACCACGTTCGATAAGCCCTGCGTGTGCGGGGGGGTGTCGGGCGAGCTGGTGAGGAAGAGGGGAGCAAGCAGCAAGCTCATGAAAATGAGAGCAGGCGTGTCACAGACGGGGATGGGTGATAGAGAGGGAGGGAGCGTGCGTGTATGAGAGAGGGGGGGGGGGATGGGGGGGGGGGGGGGCAGCTAGCGCATGGCGGGTGAAAATACGGGTGCGTGGTGTGGTCACAAGCATTTCCGGATTTGCTACACAGCACGTTCGCATGTCTTATTCTAGAAAAACAAACACAAAAAAACAGCAAAAAACATCTACTGGTTTTCGTCAATCCTCCTCTTTGCTCGTGCTTGGCTCACGATCCAAGCTTCGGCTACAACTCTACGTATATCTCAAACGAGTGTTTTAGAAAATCGTGCACAACGGCAAAGCAGTGAACCACCCCACTCGCGCGAGGTGAAACCAAGTTCGATGCATGCGAGCGTGTTAGGTTCAAACCACCGAACCACCTTGCGCACGCCGGCCTGGGCCCCGATGCAGCAGAACGCCCCAACCCCCATCGCGTCCACCCAGTTGAGCAGCGCCATGTCATCCCGGACACCTTTGGGATAGGGTTAGTGATGCGGTGCGGGACGGTTCACGGGAGTGGGGTGGGATGGCACCGGACGCCGGCGGTTGTGAACAGGGATATGGTTAGAGCGCCCTACGGCTGCCCAAAACTGATTCGCCCAACGCTTCCCTCTACAACACGTTGCCTGTGGCCATCATCGAGCCGCGCCCGATTTTCGAGCACGACAAACGACGTACCCAATGCTTTTACCACCACGGCCGGTATGGTATGGTATGCATCAGGCTACCCCCTTGGTCAATATTTCAAAAACCGAACCACAAAAATGCCAGACAAGAAACGAGGACCGGCCCAGAAACATCGTGGTGGCGAATGGCGAAGTCAGCCTGCCGATCCCAATCGAAGCAGCAAGCATCAAGGTTGGCCGAAAACCCAAAAGACCGCAACAAGCTCGGGGAGGGGAGGGCGGTGGCCGCCGCGGTGGGTCAGCTACGCCATTGCGTCAGGAGCTCCTATCGCGCGAGCACCAGGCAATAAGCTGCATCGCACAGCCTCCTCTTCCCGACGGATAGGTCTCACACGCGTGAGTTACCGCGCGATATGACGACGAGGACAGCGCACAGACAGCACGCAGTGTACGGCATGGGCGGTTGTACGATACGGTACGGTACGGCGCGGTGCGGCGCGGTGCAGTGCGGTACGAAACGGTACGTTATGGTACGGAATGGAATGGAGCGGCATATCCCGGTGACAGGAAGGAGCGGGGGCGTGCTGCCAGGGACCGTTCAATGTCACCGCCGACATCAACTCCAGGGCTCAAACAACGCCGACACCAACGACACCCGCGTGTGTGCTTTTATTACTAGCATCGACCGGCTGACCTATGAAAAGACGTCTGTCTCAGTGCGATTGAACAAAATAATATCAACAAAATATTTTCTAAAGGCCATGATCCTTGAGCCCCCGTGTGTGTGTGTGGTAAACCTATTGTAGAGGGTGAAACGGCACTTAGCGTAAGTCAGTCGCACCCACCACCCACCTCTCTCCGCGAGATAGGACCAGAGGAAGAAGATGCCGACGGTGGTGGCGAGGCACATCCACAGGTACTCCGTCTCGTGCATCCAGAAGACGGGGGTGTTGCCGAGAAGCACGTCACGCACGGTGCCCCCTCCCGTGGCCGTGATGGTCCCCACGATGATGCACCCTGAAATCGATCACGCCGCGGAACCCCCCCCCAGGCACGCACGTCGTGCACGTGGTCGGTAGAACGTGGTCGAAGGCGACATTATGAGCTCACGACAAAGGGAGGGAAGAAACCAAAGGTATTTTTTTTTTTTCTAGGCGGGTCAAGGTCATCGTGCGCAAATTATACCCGTGTCTTTATGGAAAACCATCGCCGAAAAAGAGAAAGACAATTGTCGGCACATTGAACAAGCCGTTGACACCAGACCGGGACAAGAAAGAGTGTTTAGACAGAGGGTAGGACGCGCGCACGGACGGTGCTGCTGCGCCTTCTGTATCGCGCGGCACCTCATGGCGGTCCCCATCCCTCAACGTGGCAGAAGGATGGGGCACTTTGCGGGCCTGTAATAACGGACGAAAATTGCCCCCTGCCCATCCTACACATACTGTCATTATTTCGTTTCAGGTATATATCCCTGCCAGCAGCATTGATCACAGACAACGTCGATTTCCTGGTCACACTTCTAAGGCTGCCACCATTTCGCTTCCCTCGGCCTACTGCTATTTAGCTCAGTAGCGGCAGAGAAACGTTCTTCGTTCAGGGTAGTCTCCGTTTGGCGGAGGAGCGACCCCACAAGCAAGCACGACTGACTGCTGTCTTGTGTGCTCGGTCGTGACATCGATTTACGGCGTGTCTTGGGTATGTGGTATGTGGTAGTGGGAAAGGATAACATGCTGGAACTCCTCGTTGTTACAGGTGCTGTTTTCTCTCTTTGTCTCACTTCCTCTCTCTATGTCTCTCTCTCTCTCTCGCTCTCTCTCTCTCTCTCTCTGTCACTCTCTGTCTCTCTGTCTCTCTCTTTGTCTCTGGGCGTGGATACTCTCCTCCTTCTCTCGCTTCCTCTCTTTCTCTCGCTTCCTCTCTTTCTCTCTCTGTCTTCCATCTGGCAGTGGAAATATATATACGAAGTGTAGGGTTGTTATTGAGTCATCTACGTAGAGCAATTCGCACATCAGCAAGCCGTGTATACCATCTTCGTAGATCGATCCGTACAGTAAATGTCGTATCAATGGCGGTGGACCCCCTACAGCAGTACCCACTCACCGAGAAGGTCCATGCCCACTTGCCCTGCAGTCACGGTGCCCGAAATGGCGAACACCGTGGTACCCAAGTAATCCAGTCCCCGCAATACCCCCTGAAAACAATGACAGCAGCAGCAGAGCAGAAACCCGTCGAAGGCTTTTCGGAACAGCATTCGCAAACCGAAGCCACGTTCGCCCGTTTCTCGTCCGGTGCCTTCGGCAGCAGGAGAAAGAACAAACGAATCGAGTCGTGCTACAAATAATATCTTGTCTAGAGCGGAGAAGAGAGTGCTCTGAGATCATGGAGAAGGCGGGCCGGGCGACCTTCTACGGACAAAGATGCCAATGCTGGCAGTAGCCGACAATCGCATACACACAACCCTTAAGGGGTTGCCCAGATCATGGCATTCAAATAGAAGAATTTTGTGTTTTCCACCGCACTGAGACTTGACTCTTTTTTATTGGTCAACCAGTTAGAGCGGTCGATGCTAATACGAAAAACACTTACACCTTCCCTTTGCGCAACTGTGTCGAGGGGGACTCGTCTCGATTTTCAAGTCGGCGACGCAAGTCAATAATGTTGTTGCTCATGGTGGTGGTGGTAATGTTGTTGTTGTCGTTTTGTTGCTGTTGTTGCTGTTGTTGTTGTCGTCGTCGTTTGTTTGTTATTATTGGTATTGTTGTGATCATCCACCTGAGGCGAGCGGAAGGTCGGGTATCGCGTCAGCCCGTCTTCCGGCGGTTCGATGTAACGGTTGATCAAGGCCGGCTTTTCCCCGGAGGGCAACGCCTCCGGCCGCTTCGGCGACGAGGTCGATCCGGGGCTGAACGGACCGCTGAAAGGACCGGTTAGAATCCCTCGCGTTGCCGCCCTGTGCACCGCATCGTACAGACAGCAGTACCAAGTGTTGGGTGTAACAAAAAACTCCGAGAGTTTGCAAACAGAACAGCGGTTGGCGCTTATGTAGTCTATCTGCAACAAACAGCACATCACGCAGTCGGCCTCTACACATAAAACTAAGATGCAGTTTTTCACCATTCTAAATTTAAGAGGAAGCAGGTGGCACGGCGGGAGCTTAAATAAGGCTATTGCGTTGCGGAGTCCCGACTTGGGACTTGCACACTAAATAGCGGAGGAGATCATGGAGCATCGACAGGCGCCTTGGCAAGCCCCCAGATCGTGTCGAAAATCGCGCGCGTCACACATTAAGGAAAAAATAAATACACGCATAGACTAGAAAGACTACCCATTCGAGATATGCAGATGCCCACAGTCGAACGGGATGTGGTGGAGTCTTTTCATTTTCAGTGAGTGAAGGAAAACCGGCTGGGTACTGGACGTAATTCGAGTCTATCTAAGTCTGTACACTGATAATTTATATCAGTGATGCCAGCTGGTGCTAAGTAAACAAAACATCTGTATAGGTAACCTACATTTTACAATACATCCCCTTGTAGTTCTCTTCTGGGTCAACGACAAAATATCGGCGAGAATCCCTCCGTTGTGTTGTGTCACACATGTATGCGCCCCACTGCGTGACCCGCGCGCACACACACAGCGGCAGCAGTAGCAGCAGTAGCAACAATGCACGCTGTTGTGCCGCCAATTTAAATCTCCACGACGATTCTCGAGAGAGATCGCACAAACCCTTACACCAACTGCGCTGTATCTGAATGCTGCTCGAATCGACCTTTCGGAGAAGAAAAATCGCGTTCGGGGTGCGAGGAACAAGTGACCTGAGAGAGACAGGACCGGTGTGGGTTTGTCCACTCTCTTCCCTGATCAGCCATCCGTGCGACTTGCTTCGTGTTGGCCGTTCGACAGACACGGTCAGCATCTCCCTCGAGGTGCTGTCAGATTCTAAGCGTGTAGTGCCGGTCACTTGACCGCGCAACAGCCACAGCAGCCACAGCAGCCACAGCAGCCACAGCAGCCACAGCAGCGAAACATGACAGTGGTCACAACATGCAGGTGTAGACAGCAGTCGAGTCTGCACACCAACACAAAATGTTTCTTTTTTTTCTATCGTTGTACATGTATATGTGTAGCACTCTAATAACCCTGGTGCACACCAACAAATAAAAGAAATGTGAACGACTTACAGGTCCAGATCTCCAAAGCCTGCCAGCCGCGACTTCCCAGCACCACCGGGAAAACCTCGACGGGACATCGACACAGAAGCACCGCACGCCGCAGCGATATGGTGGTGGTGCCCGGCACGATGAAATGCCGAGGTGCAGGTCATCGAACTACGCGAGATATTCATGTGTGTGCGACAGAGCCCCGCCTGCCTGCCGGCGAGCACGGGCGGCTGAAACGCTGGAGGAGAAACACCGAGCTGGGCACGGGAAGCCAGGGAGCGCCCCACGCGGCATCCCGAGGAAGCTAGCTGGTTCGCAGAGCGGAGCATGCCGGAGTTGTTGGCTTGGGTGTGGGACGTGGGATGTGATGCGTGACGTTCCCGACTCCAAAAACGCGGCGGAACTACGTACCATGACATGCGGGGAGGCTGTGAGATCCGACCCCCTCGGTCTCGCGGACAAAAGAAGCAAGATACGAGCTAGGACGGGGTGTGCACCAGCATGTGTGACCTGGCATGGCACAACCTCAATTTCCTTGCATGGTATACCACCCGCATCGTAAACCAGACTTATTAGGAAGGTTATTTAGGTCAGTTGCAGTACAGCAGTGGGGGTCCCTCAATAGAGCGGGACCTGGCGGGAATATGGCGTAGTACCGGCACTACAGGGGGACCCCGACGGTACTGGCTTACTGGCTGCTGCGCTGTGTGTTGAGGGGGGGGGGGAGCAAGACCCCCCACACCCCACACACCCTGAGTAGTAGACTAAATAGGAGACTCATACGATGTAAGATGCCGTTGTATTGGTGGTGTTATTTCCCCCCCCGGGCATACCCAGCATCTTCTGGCCCACAACAGCGTATGTAGGCGTGTTCTTCCTCCCCTCCAACAAACGCAGCAAGTAGTCTACACACCACACAGAGCTGATGCTGCCGCTCTGCACAGACACAACGTTATTGTTTTTCATTCCGATCACGAGCTTTTTACTACAAATTCAACTTTCACAATAATGATGGTACCCTGGTACCCTTCCACTGCGCCCGCCGTGTACACGTACCTACTACTATCTATGCATATTTACTACCACTGTTTTAGCTATTATACGTGAAAAGTTAGTTAGAATGAAGCAGAAGAATGAATGGCCACGGTCGGACGCAAAGATAGTGATGGCGACGGCCAAACGCAAAGAGAATTATGATGACGGTCGAAACCAAACAAGGTTTGCGGCCGCATGTTGCATGAAACCCATTCCCCCCTCCCCGCGGGTGCCGCCCCCGCGCCCCCGCCCCCCCTACTGTTCCTTTTCCCAAGTTTCCGGTTGATGATGCGTGGTGGCCAAACCCAACCAACAACCAACGGACGAGATAGATGCACACTGGGGCGGGCACCATTTATCTGTCTACTGAATCTGGACATGGATGCAACTGCTGCTGCTTGAATGTGCGTCTCTACTGTGTATGCATAGCTACGCATAGCGTAAATATTTAGTCGTCGTCCAACGGTTCGAGATTCGCAATGTATGGTTTTCTACCGCTACAGGCGCCCCTATGCCAGCCACACACACACACCCCGACCTACAGCAACCACTAGACACTAGACTATGCATAGCAATTTCTTTCCGTAGGCGCCCCTACGCCAGTCACCCCCCCCCCCCCCGAACTACAGCACACCACCTGGCTGTATCGATTCCCTCTATTCTACTACATATCTGCGGGGGAACGACGTTTTTCCCCTCAGGTATCGACCGCACCCACTTGGGACATCCCGATACATCCTTATTTCCCGCGCGGGACTTCGAAACCCTTGCCCGTCCGGGACTCTCTCTCTAACCCTAACCCTAACTCCGTAAAGCTGTGCGTGACACATGTGCAGTCGGAGTCCTGCTAGCAACCGTGCCGTTGCCGCCCCCGAAGAAGACAAAACCTCGGACCAATCAAATGGGGCAACGTGTACGTAGAGATGATTGATGATGTGTAGCTCGCTCGGGCAGCTACGGAGAGGGGCTCACTTTTTTTCTGCACCACTTTGGCGTAAAACAACAGAGATGGGTCCAGGCGGTAGCAGGAGGGAGACTTTCCGACGTCGTCGTGTCCAAGGCAACACCGCCAACCACGCTACGCACGCACACTGATACGGTACACCGACCGACAACAACGTGGGAAATCCAAACCAAACGTGGGCGTCTCGTAGCAACGAGGAGGACAACAACCAGCAGTCCGTTGCATGTATCTATATCTGAAGGGGGGAAACTAGCAATATCCGTTGTGTACGCTCTCTACGCACGTATAGCCGGAGCCTGCTGAAAAACCGACAAGAAAGAAGAACACCCATCCATTCCATCCATGCCAACCCGCGTGCGTAGCACAGAGGAGAGAGGTACACACTACTACCGCTTCGGGCACAGCGGCAGTGCAACACTGAGAGAGGTACACACTCTTCTTGCGGACACAGCAGTGTTAACAAATTTATCTGTCACGCTGACCCAATATCTCCAGGCAACGTCTCCCGCCTCCGCCCCCACCCTGAGCACCTGGGGGGCGACAGCATCACAGCGCGACGCTCACCCGCGAGGTGCTGAACAAGCACCGCTTCTTCTCCATCCATCCACAAATTCGGACCCATTCGGGAAAAAAAAAAAATACAGAAAACTTGACACACACGAAAAAAATGCCATGAATATATCCAAGGATAAAAAGTGCACCCGCCGGTGGCGCAAAAGTTACTACGCAGATAGGGTACCACCCCCATAGGGGGAAGATTGTTGCTTCTTCATACGTGCAGAGGAAAATACGCAAGGATACGGAGGACGTATACTACCGCAGGGCCAATGAAAAGACAATAAAGTGGTTGCCTATGCATGCATGTGGAAAAAAGAATTCCGCCTTCGAAATAAGAAATACCGCCCGGGGCGGGGTAGCCGGGATGTAGGGCAAACCTTAACACACATGGAGATTATCCTAAATGCTACATGGAATATCTGGGCAAGCTTAATCCCTTCCGCCCTCGCCCCCTTCGGAGCTAGAAAAATAACACGGGCAGGCACGTGCACGCGCGCATGCCGCCGCCATCCCGACACGCTCGGGTGAAGACGAACCTTACCTATTACACCGGAGGCGAAAGACGAGAGCAAAGAGGCAAAAGAGAGAAGAGACAAAGCACAAAAAGGTGCTCCGTAAACGCCGTGGTCAGCCGGCGTGTTCGTCGACACGGCGGTCTAGCACAGACACCGATGCAACGCCAAATCAATCGTGGAGAAACCAAGATCGATCGTGGACTACAGGTACAAGGGTCTCAAGCCCTTGCCCAAGCGCGGTACGATACCCCCTCCTGAGGGAAAAAAAACAAAAAAACACATACAACATCCGCGTGAACGAGTATTAGTAAGTGATCGTACCACCAGTCTCTCGTCGTCTGGCATGAAATGCGACATCACGACGCACCAAATAAAAAAAATTAAAGTAGCAACACGAGAGGAGGTCCCAAAAAAAAAAGGGATCCGGCCAAGAAACTTTTTTTTTTCTCAGACCGCTGCCCGCCGACGTCTCTCATCTCTCCGGGCGAAAAAGCGCCAGAGAGAGGAGGAGCCACAAAAAAAAAAAAAAATAGAGGCAGCACGAACGGACTTTACCCCAAACAACAGTCAGACGTGCAAACCACCAAAAACGGCAGAATACATACCACCGTGCAATGCGAGCGACACGGGCGTGCCTCCGGGCGCAGCAACCGCGCGCGCGCGCGCAACCGAACAAATGGGATCCGAAACTGCTCGCGCATGTCGTTGTGCACGCAAACACACACACGCCCCCCCCCCCCCCCTTGAACACAGAAAAGGAGAGTAATGAGAAGAGATAAGGACACCAGCGTCGATAGTGCCGACACACACACACGAGGTAGCAGGCACGAAGGACACCATCCGCAACAAGTCCGTCCGTAGGTAAGTACTCCCGACAAGTCAGAGGAGCCATCCAACAACCTGTCTACAGCAAACGTCAACAGGCGAAAGGCACACGCCACAAAACGAGCGCACATGCAAAAACACGCACACACGTAAAACGCACGCACACACTCACAAAACGAAAAACATGACGAGCCACCAAATGGATCTACATATACCAAGAACAACCATGAGCACACGTCGCACATAAGCTACACGTGGTGGTAGAAAACAACAGAGATGAGGTACATGGCACCATAGAAAAGGCAAAACCAAACAAAATACCGATTGATTGCACACCAAAGATGAACAGCTGAAAACGTCAACCACAAAATCACAACGCGGCGGTGGCTGCGGCAAAAGAGAAGCGATAAAACCAACAATGTTCGTGCTCCTGTACACAACACCCAAAACAATGGCGGCACGTTGTAGCTGCTGTACTCACGTCCAAAGAGAGTTCCAACCCCGAACCAGAAGCCATTGCCTCCTCCCTTTGCTTTTCAGAAGAGAGACAAGGCGAACGTCATTTTCCTGCTGAACCCCGCCCGCCCCCCCCCCAAAAAAGAGGAAAATACAACAAATCAGAACGTTGGTCATCTGCAACGCTATGAATTCATTGCTAGTACTCTAGTCATACATCCCAGACTGACT